ATGTAATGCTGTGGTGTTGTTTTAATTTTCTAATTTACTTTGTTTTTATTTTATGCGAAGCGCTTTGTGATTTTATATCTAAGAAAGGTGCTACTGTACATAAATAAACTTTACTTACTTTACTTACTTACTTTACAACAAACCTAACATGACTAGTTTCCAAATTTATTAAAAAGACAAACAAAACAAGAAACAGGGAAACCTGTACAGTACAAGAAACCTGGAAATTAAAGGATACTTAGTTGTTCAACTGGCTAGTGGAACAATTGAGGAAATGCCATATGGAATTTGGAGAAATGTAATATGGCTAAAAGGACCAAATAACTTGGTAACGGTCAAAGACTTGGAGAGCCTGCATAACCCCAAGAAAGCTAAGAAATCAAAGTGGAAAAGATTGGAGTTGTTGAAATCACGGTCAATAAAAATAAGCCCCTCAGCCACCACAACTTGGCATAAACCAGTGGATGTCCCTGAAGTAACAAAACAAAAGTTGGAGGAAAGTGATTTGTCTCCAGAAGTAAAAATTAAATCAAAACAAATAATTGATTCAGCCAGAGTTGCTCGCTTCAAAAATGACTGCGGGGACTTGGGCACTAGATTTTGCCACCATATCGTAGGAGGGTTACACCCGCCTGTAAAACAGTACCCTCTCCACCCAGAAGCAGTGGCAGAAATGGAAAAAATTGTGAAAGAACTGCATGCGCTGGGAATCATCAGAGAAGAGCCAAATCCCCTCACCAATAGCCTTATTCAGGCTGTGAAGAAACATGAATCAGCGGGAGGAGGCTGGAGACCAGTGATCAATTTCAAGGCTTTAAACCGGAGAACTGTTGCAAACCGAGCCAGTCTCATCAATCCCCAAGGAGCATTGAAAACATTGTCAAAAAATACAAATCTTTCATCGACCTGGCTAACGGGTTTTTCTCACTCAGGTTAGCCMATGAATCACAAGGAAAAACAGCTTTCACCCAAAAAGGTAAGAGCTATGTGTGGCAAAGACTGCCACAGGGATACAGAAACTCACCAAATGTATTCCAATCAGCCGTCCTGGAAATACTTGAAGACATTGGAGCTTCAGTATACCRTACATCGATGACATTTTCATTGCAGATGATACTGAAGAAGAGCATCTTAAACGTCTGGAAGAAGTGGTTAAACGGATCTCTGAAGCAGGCCTCAAACTAAACCTGGCGAAGTGCCAGTWTGGCCAGTTTAAAGTCAACTACCTGGGGTTCCAAGTTACCACAGACTTGGGCTTATCGGACGGTTACAGAGAGAAAATTCAACAAATGAAATCCCCCAGGAGTGAAACTGATCTACAAAAAATCTTAGGCCTGTGTAACTATGTGAGAGATCATGTGCCAAACTACCAGAAATATGCAAAACCTTTGTATGCCTGCCTGAAAATAAGAGGCTACAGCGGAAGGCCACAAGGAAAAGGCATGGTTATGAACACACAAAAACCAAGATGATCTTGACAAACTGAAAGAATAAATCCAGAAAGCTGTCAGACTTGAACCTAGAAACCTAACCTCTAGGCTGGTGGCAGAAATATTCTGCGAGAATGACGACACTATGGTCAAGGTGAGTAATGACCGAGGAGGCCTAATCACAATGTGGAGCACAACACTGACATCAGCGGAGAAGAAATACCCTCAAGAGGAGAAAGAACTGGCAGTGCTAGCAAAATATTGGGGGTCACTGAAAGATCTGGCCCAAGGTCAACCCATCAAAGTCACAGCACAAAGCCAGGTACATAAATACATGCAAAAAGGCACCATCGAGAGCACCAGAGCAACTAACACCAGATGAGGCTGATGGGAAGACATTTTGCTGGATCTAGACCTAGAAATAGGCCCAGCACAGCTATAGGAAAAGAAGCCTACCGCCAGTCAAACTAAGGATAAAACATATGACTGGGTGCTCTTCACAGATGGATCACGAAAAGGCCCTGAYGAAACTGCGTATTGGGGTTGCATCTCGACACAAAATGGAAAAGAACGACACCGAGCTAGAGGAAAGGTGAGTGGAAGCGCCCAAGCTGGAGAAGTGACTGCAGTTTAGGAAGGGTTGCTGGAACTCACAAAGAGGAAAATCAAGGCCGCAAGGGTAGTAACTGACAGTTACTATTGCGTACAGGTCCTAAGAGAGGACTTGTCCATCTGGATTGAGAATGGATTTGAGTCAGCCAGAGGAAAAACTGTGGCCCACAAAAAACTGTGGGAAAAAATAGCCGAGTTAAGGACACAACTCAACTTAGATGTGGAGCACCAAAAAGCGCACACAAAAGAAAGATCTTACTGGGAAGGAAACGACGAAGTGAACAGGTATGTCCAACAACGGAAAATTGTCTTGATTGGAGCAGAAAAATGGAACGTTACTCCTAAAGGAATGGAGGTTYCAAAAGAGTATGTGGCGGAGGTAGTGGTGACCATGCATGAGGCTCTAGGATATGCTGGGCTGCTACCCACACGTAGAGGACTGGAAAAGCAGAACTTTTGGATTCCTATGAAACAAATTCAGCAAGAACTCAGGCACTGCACAGTATGTGGGAAATACAATGCAGGAAGGAGAGGAAAGAGAACTGAAGGCCTCACAATTAAAAGCACAATCCCATGGGGCTCAATATGCACGGATGTAGCTGGACCTATGGGGGTCACAGGGACTAAAGATGAGAAATATCTTATTGTCCTTGTAGACTCAATGTCTGGCTTTGTGGTGATGAGACCTGTCAGGAAAGCCAGCGGGAATAGTGTTGTCTCCATGTTAGACTACACATTGCAATTTGCATAATCAAATGTGGCTTTTCCTTGCAAATTTCTAATAAACTGCTTTAAGCATGATAAAATACAATTGCATGACTGGGCATTGATTACTGAGGTTTTTCTCTGATTTCAGAGTGTGTTGTTACTTCAAAGCAACAAGGTACTAACATATTAAGGTGTGTTTGCTTTGAAGCCAAAAGGTAATGATAAGAGGTAGTAAATTAATAAAAAGTTCATTTTTACTGGTTATTAGCCTGGGGAGATTGGATAACTCCCTTTAACAGTTCCCTTGAGACCTGCTGTCCAGGTCACTAAACATTATCTCAGTCATTGTAAGAAGTGCAGATCCCGTTAACAGTGGTGCCCGGCTGCTGGAGGCGTCCTGAGTTACTGCGCTGATCCAGAGGCTGGGGGTAACGAAGGGAGCGACCACCGGAGAGAAGGCAGCTAGAGGCCGAGCTTAAAGCCTCCCACCCCTGTCTCCTGGAGGAGACACACCTGACTCTGTCACACAGGCCACCCCAGTTGGCTGTAAGTCTGGTCTGTCGCCTCTAAACCAAGAAGGGGACATTGGCTCCTTCCCAAGACCTGTTGGTGTCTTGGTGGGTAAACTGGGGGAGGAGCCACACAGGAAAACATTGTTTTGCTGCTTTTTCTGCTGCTTCATTCCCTCTGATTCCTGTGTGTGCTGGTATCCATAAAAAGTTTACTGTTAGTCCCATCATTTGTATTCTGAATAATGTTTGTAGTATTTCTTATAAAATGTCCGGTCGGCTGTCTGACTGTTCTGCAAACTTATGAGTATGAACACAAACTGAGGACAGGACACCAAATATAAAGGCAAACAAATTAAGAGACAATCAGAAACACCTGGAGAGACACAAGAGGGATCAGGTGTGAGAGGGCGGGGCTGCAGGGCAGAGAAACACAGGGAAACACTGAAAACACTAGAAAACTAAGGAAAATGAACACAAACCCTGACAAAACAATTGTTTTTCTCTCACTGGTCATTTAAGTGTTCGAACCACCTGAAGCCCACTCAGTTTAATTTAATTTAAATATAGATGAGAAGCGTCAAAATAATGTCGGATCATGCCCGTCACACAAACACAGGTCATCTAAACTGATTAGAAAAAAATACCAGTGACCTCAGAGATGGAAGCATTTACTCACTGTTAGATAAACTAATGAAGCTTTTAGTTTCGGGTGTCAGAGTTTTAGGAAATATCCTATGTTTAACCCAATCTCTTTTCACAAATTAATTCATGATAGAAATAAATTTTAATATTGACTGATTGGTTATTTGTTTCACTGCAGATCRAGACCTCATCCTTCCCATTGGACTTGTTTTTGGAAGTGTGACCGTTCTCTTTATCATCAGCGTCATCATCTACTATATATTCAGGATTGACATTGTGCTGGGCTTCAGGAGAACATTTCCAGTTCTCTACTCAAATAAAGGTAATGCTTCACAGCAGGTGTGKCATCTTTAATCTGCTAACAGGAAGGATTATAATCATTTCTCTGCTACAGTGCCTATAAAAGATTCACCCTCATCAATGTTTTATGTTTTATTGATGTTGGCCTTCTCTACAAAATAAAATGCTCAGCTGAAGTTTGTCAAGGTTATTTAGATTCTAGATTTAATCAGAGTTTTCTTCAACTGTGGCTTTCTTTTCACAGTAAAGCCTGAAGAACCGTCATTCATTTATGATGGCATTGAAAAAAACATTTGGTGAGGTGAACACTTTTTATAGACACTGCAGAGAAGCTTCAGAGTATAGTTGCACTGAGTACCCACACATGAATCAACGATCTGTCCCACATCTGACCACATGTGTTCACAATGAGCACAAACAGAGGCAGCTGTAACCACAGGACCGCCTGCACTCTGAAAAAACGTCACCTGCTGCATGCATGAGGTGGCCTCGGAGCTTTGCTTGTTTTAAACAGGAGAAATGTTTGGCAGGGACCCAGTAAAGCAAACTGCAGCACGTAAAAATGATGCAACTCAAAACCTCACATTTTGGCTTTCAGATAAACTG